TAAGAATCCACGGACAAAGGAACTACGATTGAACGCTAGGAAGTTAAGACGAATAACCATGTTATTTCTCGAGGAGATTACGGAAAAGCTAAAAGAATACCGCGAAATGTATTTGTCCAAGCGAACAGCAATCGACAAATTAGTTTTGATATGTTATTTTAGGGGACAATATTTGTTCTTCTAAACCTTCGTCCCCAAGCGGTACAAAGAGGGTCTGGTGAAGGCTTCGTTCGACAGAGCTAGAATAATATGATCTGCTGACACGCTGGAACACGTGGTGCGGCTGCTTACCAGTACTTTCGTGGACCATGGGTACCCACCGCCTTTCCTGGCTCCGTGTACTGCTGAGAAATAGAAAAGTGTGTGTCCGCGGTACCGCATTTGAAGGTTTCTTTGTGACTGCTATTCAAGGGCGACGACTTATGCGTGATTTTCAACGCCGATTGAAATCCGCATTGGTGCATATATTCTTGCGGCGGAACCAGTATTTAACTGCACTACGAATCGTGTCCCCACTCCATCGGTTAAACCCCGCTGTCGCTGTGCATCCCGTCGTACTTCATTTACCAATTTACCTGTAATTGCGAGATGGAGTACGTGGACATGACAGAACGACTATTGACGGTGAGGGTTGCGGAGCACCTACCGGCGTTGGTGAGTATACACTTTTCGCAGATGGCCATGTCCACTAACTAGAATGCGCAGCCAAGGAAGTGAAATGAAGTTCAATACAAACAACCAGCTTCATCAATCGCTGGCCATCTGCTTGCTGTAAACCTCTGTGTAGACCCGATGCAGGCGTTCTGTGTTACCTATGCAGCAATGAACCCATAATTTACGAGATGCACAGTCCGTGAATATCAAACAACTTGGCCGAAAGTTGTGTATATAAAAAAGGCATTTGTGATCATGGCCCTACCATGGAAGCAGGCCGGTAGCAAATGACATGGTGACAGAAATGGGGGCGTTTACAATTTGGCCAATTTGCTATTATAACTGCGCCCCTTTCATGTTGCTATAAATTCACACGTCTGTAGTACGCAATCAGAAATATGCAGAGACATTTTTCCGGAAATATATCGTGCCGCGCTCTTGTGCTAACGTTTCTACTATTTTTCTGGGAACTATTTGTTCCAGCTTGTTAAGGTCTTTTTATTTTGTAGGCTAGTGATTTATAAATATTTGGGCTTGCAAAGCAATTTGAAGCAGCATTGAACGTGTACACCTCGCAACCTACTTTGGACATGTAAACTGCATGCATTGTCAATGTGAGTTTAGGTAAACTTTTAACACTAATATTGTGGCGTACAAATGCTTTTTTGCATTAGCAATGCAATGCGGCTACTAGCAGTTTACTTTGGATATTCCAAATGCCATCTCCATCACATGGGGATTAGTGCGTGATCCTGTAGTGTACCGGAAAACACACTCTCTCAGTATTTTGCAACCTAGTTTTTACGGTTGTATTAACTTTTAGAACATCCAGTAGTTTTACTAACAGCACATCTGTTGGCACTAATCGTTTGGTGATTACCTCGCTGTACCGCTTCTCGCTCTCGTTGATTTGCTTCCTATTGTTTTCGCCTGCACATTATATGTTGGGTTCAGTCGCCTGCACCTTCTACACTTGCCCTATTGGACACGGCTCTTACGCGTCGTTGATTACCGCCTAGTATCCCAGACGCCACCCAACAATTGGTGCCCCTGGTCCAGAAAAGGACGTCCGCCATTTTGAAATTTCCTACTGGTTAGCTCGTTCCCAGGATTTCGTGATTTATTACTTTCCGTAATATTATTTTTTCAATTACCACGCTGCTTATTCGCTTTTTACAATGGATTACCTAGAGAGTGATTCAGCACAATACACGGTTAGAGCAGCTGAGTCTGTCTTGGGTATTTCTGTTGCATTAGCTCCTTCACCATTTTAGTAGAATTCTTTTTCCTTATGAATTGCTTTCACAGAATCCGTTTAGTTATGTTCGTAGGATTTCTTCTGATTTTGCCACGTATTGCCAGCTACTATATCGCCTACGACGGTGTATATCCTGGCAGGTGAGAGACATCATATACTGCATCCCTTTTGTAATGCAATACCATACTTACAAACAGGCTGGTATTCAGCGAATCACGTCTTCTGACAAGGTCCGTCTGCGGCGCTTATTTACTGATCTGAAAATGAAATATATGATGTCTCAGCGTGGTTTGACAAAGTGCACCAGCTCAACAGCACGTCCGACATGGACTTATAAATGCTCCGCGAGCTCTGCATGCAACGCCTTCCTGGAAGCACTCAGGCTATCCTTGCAGTAGCAAGTGACTTGCCAACCATAGCAGTTGCAGATCTGGCAGACCGCATCATCGAACGGCATCACCCAGTAACAGAAACCAAAGCACATAAGCAGATTCGTGTTAGCGCAACCTCACCGACTCACGCGACTAGCCAGACATCAGCAATAGACGCATTTTGGTCGCAGATAGCGTCGCTTCAGCGCCTAAAGTTATTTGTTCTTTGTACACATACGCGAAGGTAGCGGATTGTTACAACGATTGCTGAGTGCGAGTGTTTGAGTTGAGCATCGCCATTTGGCTTGACGCTGGCTTCGGTTGCAACGCGCTTATCGCTCGTTTGATGGCCCAAATATCAATTGCGATGCAGTATATGCGATCTTTGTTGCTCACTAGAAACCAATTTGTGTTAATAAACGTTTTGTGCTCTGCAAACTGATAACATCCACCCTGTATGCTTTCCTACATGTAAAGACGCCATTAGTATGTAATAGGAAAGAAAAAGCATAGGGCTTTTAAATTTAGGCGTATTTTTGAGCCCTTTACCGACAACGTAAATACGCAGATGCTTCTATTCATTGCAGTGCAAGAGACAGTTTACGCATAAAGACGGAACAACGGCGTTACTTCACAATGCACAAACGTATTCCTCGCATAATATATTGAAGATAAACTCCAGCTTTTAGCGGTTGGATGTATACAGGTTCAGTCACTGTCTGAACTATGTATTCCGATCCTTCAGTAGCTCAGGTGTCTCAACCACAAGACCGGTTAATTCGTATTGGGGTTCTATGCGACCTGTGCAACTTAGTGGAAGGCGAGGTATGCATTTAACCGCGCACCATTTTCGTACCAATTCTCAGGAGTCGCACAACTGCCATCTGCCGAGGACTAAGTATGTGGACCAAGCCAGCAAACTGTATGACCTAACGAAGGCTTTGAACAATTAACGAACATTAGGCTGTTAAGATATCGAAAGACCTGTGGAACATGTATAGTATTCGGAAGGTTGTGATTACATGTCGTGCAGGTCTCATGAGTTTTAACTTCGATGACAGCGAATGGTCCAAATCTATCTGGTGGACAGCATGCAGTAGCGCATACTTTACAAGTATTAGCTCATAATGTGCACCCCAATGTGATATGATACTCTTTCGTATTTTGGTGGTTCGAAAGGTAGATATAGTGGATCCAATGCTCGTATCTCCCACTGTAATCCTGTAGCCGCTTAGTTCTGACATTTAGGCTTTTGAACTAAAATTATCAGGCATTATTACGCGATTACCTGTAATCAAAGTAGCCTTACTGTCAATCAAATGCCTCAAGATTGATTGCAAACACCGGTGTGGTGTGCCTCGGAGCACAATGCTGTGGAGGTAAGATGGGTATCATTCCCATTGAGATTCGTTGCAACACATGGTTAGTAAAATTTCCATTTGACGAATGAAGCATAGCCTACAGTCGCTCGATTCTGTGTGGGAAATCAAAATTAACAATAAGAGTATAGTACAAAGCAGTCCACCATGACCTTGAACTCCGGTATCCGCAGTATTTCCACTTGCCCCAACAAGCTTATTTCCTGGCTAATAATTGTCACGAAAACCTAGTAAGGGGCCACTTATAAATGACTTGGATGCAGTTTGTCCCTATGCCGTGGGTATCTAGCCTGAAGTAAATGCATGTTAAAAGCAAAAATGGGTAATGGCTGTAAGCAACATGATAAGGCAAAGCGAAGGGAAAATAATCAATTCTGTTGAGTCGAGGTTTAAGGAACTTCTTACTCTATGGATCGCCACGTGGTTTATCTATTGTACTCTAGTGGGATTTGTGTCACCAAGAAGCATGAATATATTATGATATGAAAAGCTGTCAGAAAGAAACCTACGGGAAGCTGTGTTTATTTGTTTACGTCTAGTAAAGGAAACTCACAAACAAACTACCTTGCGTAGCTTTTTGCAACTAAACAGCATTTGTCCTAATTGGTAGGTGACGCAGTGCCAATAAAACTAACGTGTACCAGGATGGGTGAACTGGCATGGAATGATCATCGACATTCACATCCAATGAAGTCAGCATCAAAGACAATACGTGTCCCATGTTTGCCAGTCTAAAAATCAGTGAAATAAATCCATCCTTCGTGAAAAAACAAAACCAACCATCATTACTTACTAGAAGTATATGCTGTTCCGAATCGGACCGGTGCAGGGTTTGGGAAAAATTATCCTCAACCATCATATTGCATATCACGTGACAAGTGGTTAATCCATCAGGGCACGTGGCAATGCTAATGAACAGGTGAACCGGTAGACTAAAGGCCCGAGGTCGCAATAGCTTGTCGGCAAAAATTTCAAATGGGGATGCGTGTGTTAGTGGGAAGTGTGGACCGGCTTAATTAAGCTATTATACGCTGGTTTACGAAGTCTGCAAAATCCCTGTAAGACAGAACGGAGATTGCCACACCTGTCCCACTTGAGACTCATTGAAACCTATTAAATGAACTGCACCCCTACTACGCAAATACGATGTGTAATAATTCAGAGGGACAGATAGCAAAAGCAGCAGGGACCTTCTGCCCACAATATACATCCATAATCTCCTTAACGGATAAGTACAAAGTAGGAGAAAATATTTCTCAGATAGCTTCTCATATTGTGGCGGATTTATAAAGTACGGACCATGAAATAATCACTGATAAGAAATTCCAAATGTTGTAGAAAATCCCGCGAAGTGGTCCTTCATTTCACACAGCTGATTGCATTCTGTTTATGCAAACCGGATTCCGCTTGCAAGCATTTCACTTCTCACAGGCTTTGCCTGGAATTACAGTTCGGTGAGACAGGACTTGAGTGTCTTAAATACCTGGAACTCCTCGTTAGCGAGAGGTTTGTTTCGCTACTCTGATACCTATCGGGTTTCATTGGTTGCATTGTATCCTTCAAGCATGAAAATTAATATTTCGATTGCCTACTACACCTCTACTAGCCTGCCTGACGTTACTACACCCCGTCAGTCTTACAAACAAACAACCCAGGTCTGCTGAAACGCCGAATCATTTGTTGTTCTTGGCATGTTGCTGACTTCACCCCTACTCTGCTAATTTCTTAAACTCTTTTTTCCGATGGCTTTTCTTTGGTATTTTCTTACATTCATTGGTACCTGGCCACAGCTAAACTGTGACCTCAATAATTGCTAAGATCCTTGATTCATTTGAACTGATCATAACCTCTCAGGTAGATGGCAAGTGTGTTGGATATACTAGTAACACAGTAGTCACAGAAGGAATTCAGTGAGATAGGTGCTTACTCTGGTACCAAATTACCTGTTATAGGTTAGATCGAGATTTTATTGCTATTTACGCTTGTCATTCCAAATTAAATTGGGTGAGTTTGCACTGTGTTTGTTTAGCTGACGCTTGCGTCCGTATGATATGTAAAGTCGGAGTGACCAATATTCTGGTTATGCGGAGGATTAATTGCTACGGTTCATTGCAGCAGAACAGTTAATTCAATAGCAGTGATCCCATATCAACACGGAGAGCGTGCGATTTGAGAAAATGCAGTCATCTCTAGAATACTTTGTGTATGGATTTCCAACTGCAATGGACCGCCAGAGGAATGTGGTTGTACACAATCATGAGGAACCGGTAATACGAGAGGGAAGCGATGGACGGGTTATTAATATAAGTCAATTACATCTGTTCTCCGATTCTTCGACATACCATAACACGTCAGTTTAGAGCTAATTCACAGGGTCCGCCTTGCGACGGACAGCACGAGCTTGGAGTCGTGAGGGATTTTCAAGCAGCGGTTGTTGGAATACTCAACTCGAGTATATGTAGCAACGCACAGAGCACGTTCAAAGGAATAAGTTGCTCAATCAACTTTAAGGATTATTACAAACATTGTAGTTACAAAATGAGCTAGATTAGCTCCTGCTCACGAGAACTGTCATAGCAAACCTAGTGAGGAATTGTTTGTTCCAGTGGAGGGTGTACGTGAAATTGGGGGACTGGGTGCGAATGATTAACATACAAGCTGGTGATCACACTCCTTTAGCGACCACAGTCTGCGAAAGGTACCGAAACTCTTTCTGTGTCGAACGAAATGCAAATCGTAATCCTTATGTGACTGCTGAACGTGTGGGCGATCGGAAAGTGAAAGTTCATTAACGGCAGCAGAACAAAAAATTTGCTAATCTAGACCTGCAGACCGTCGCAGGATGCGTGCAAACAAATTTATCTTGTGCTGTTGATCCAGCTGCAGTGGAATTGCTATCTTTGACCGTAGACAGCTGTACCGTGGATGTTACAAAGAGAGGTATTTGAAATGTAAGCCATGGTGCCGATATTGCTGAAAAGGTGATTAGCGTAGTTTGGCTTAGTCAAAAGGCAAGAAAGAAGACAATTGGTGAACCAACCAAAAGTAGCTCCGTTGAAGCTGCAAAAGCAGAACCCGTACTGTAGCGTTCTGCTGGGAACCGTTGCTTATCCAGAGAGTCGGGGACTTGAGGTAGACAATGGTCTTGCAAACGTCTCAAAAAGAGTGCTATTCCCTAGGGTATTACACCGGAGGGTCTTGCCTAAATGTTTGATGACGAGAAAGAATCAGCGAGCGGAGTTGAATATGTGGTACATTAGCAGTTGCAGCATAAGAAATAATTGGAAAGACCTAACAGTAAATTTATAACATGCGGATATGGTAATATTTATTGGAACTTGGCTCTCCCACACTGATGGGATCTGTAACTTGTTAAGTTGCTTCTCTGGATTTAGTGTTGCCAGTTTGGCAATTAGACACGTATAGGTGCGAGTTGCTTATCAATAGCAACTAGAATCAGGAGACCCGCTTCTTCATGTCAACATCTAGAATCTAATTCGTTTGTTGATTTATGGGGTTGTAGTGTTGGTTATATATATATATATATATATATATATATGCACAGTCTGTTAACAGACATTATGTCATCAGAAGCATGGCTGAAGAAAAAGTGAAGAAGTTGGGCACACAAACTTCGATTAAAAAATCTGGGAAACGATTTTTTGGTTTTACACTCGCCCTTTTATATATTTTGCTCTGTTTGTGAGTTCTGTGTGCATCAAATAGATGGTAAAATGGCAGAACAACCTTGACGCCACTGATGTCTGTTGCGCGCTACGACGTCTAATGTTTCCAACCAATGCGATTCAGAATCTCGTGGATGGAAATATTTGTTTACGTGCATCGTATTCCGTCCCCTAATCCAGTGCAATGTACTGAGCTCAGTAGATTTCTTAAAAAAGCATTGGTAACTGCATCGAACTTTGGATCATCGATAACTTAATTCATCCGCATGCAGATTGGGTCCATGCAAGGAACACGATAGACACTCTAGTTCGAGAACTGGTGGAATGTGCGCAGGAGAATGCCTATGTCCAGCACGTTAACTTCCCGAAAAGGAAGCGGGGTGATTGTAGTCTTTCAACACTAAACGTTGTGTTAACCAGAATTAGTCATGTGTCAGATGTACACGCTGCGACTCCCATCGGTTATGGTGACTAATTTGTGGTTATTTTCTCCTTGTATTGTCAAACGACTTCGACAAAATGCCGACTTGGGAGAAACCTGGGCCTCATTTACCTCACTCAGTTACCAGATCGAGCCCGGCAGATAGAACGGTGTCCTGAACTAAAACCAACCAACTTAGGGTACCGTTGGAGCTTTATTAAAATGCAGATTGTTCAGTTATAAGATAAAAAATTTTCCTTTGTGCCCGAACTGACATGCTTCTGATAAGTCGCGTGGATGGCGCAGCGCGATTAAACGCTTATAATGCAAAAGGATGCTTAGACGAGTTTTCAGGTATCTAGGGGTTAGATAGTGGCTGCATTACAAAAGTTGCAAGCATTTAGCCGTTAAATTGCAAAGCAAAGCGTGATACTGCTTGGAGCATCGAATAGCTTAGAACGCAAAAAATTATACTAAGTTGCAATACTGTTACGTTCAGTCACACAAATATTTGCGAGACGTGGTTAGTAACCTGACAATAAAGAGCGGAAGTCATGCTAGAGAAGGCGCGGATATGGCAAACTGGCCGCTGTGTGTCGTTCAGAATGTGCATCGTGTGGATGAGGGGTGCCCAGTCCCTTGACAACTACGTCGTCAAACCACGAATACAACCAAGAATACAATACTCCTTGAACCATGTCAAGGGTATTTAGTGTACCCGCTACATAGATGCCAACAAATCGTTGGGAGCAGACAACGTGCAATGTCAAACCACTCGTTGACATACTCGAACATGCAATCTTGGAGATATTCAACACGTCAATTCGAGTAGGCAGACTACCACGAGACTGGAAAGTGGCATCTGTATTGACGATACATAAGGGAGGCAACAAATCTGTTCCCGTCCACTATAGGCTTCTCAGCCTTAGAAGTAGTTTGGTTAAATTGTCTGGTAGGCATATCAGATGCCGAATGTGGGAGTACTTAGTGAAACGACACGGCTTTGTCAAAAAGTTCATGTCTAACCAATATGTTGTGCCTTTTGGATGAAGTAACAAGTCGTCTTGATAACGAGGTTTCAATGTACATATTTTATCTTTACCTCAGCATGGGCTATGATATGGTAAACCACCGTTTTGTCACTAACGAATCTGGCTTAGATTGGGATTCACCACCGACGTTTGACTCGCGGATCAGCGATTCTTTTAGAAAGTGCGTTTACCTTAGAGTCGGTGGCGCAATCTCAAATATAGGCACTGCGCATATTGGCGTTCCCCAGCGCTCTGTTATAGGTCCCCCGTTAATTCTCATATCCACACATGAATCCGCACCACATCCTGAGGACCCGTGTGTATTTTTGTGGGTGATCTGATACCGGTTAGCAGGTGTTCTTAGAGTTCATAGGATTGTAGAACGTAGAAAGGAATTGCTGGCGTAATGGGGACACATAGTCCAAGTATCTCTACACTGTAGCAGGGTGGTTTGCTGCATGACATTTGCCCCTTAATCCCAGTTAATGCCAGCTGTCGACTTCTAGCTATGTTGCGATTACAGTGCAATGAGGCTGGACCTTACCGTGGTGCGATGGTTTGCGTGCCTCAGAGATCCATTGAGCTATGCTGGGTGGTGCTTTTTTTGCACCTTTAGAGCCACTCATACCAGATTGGTCAATGGTTAGAGGCCAGACAAACTCAGCCTCCTGGTCCTCCAGGTTGGGGGTTGGAATGGGGGTGGCTCCACATCTCATAAAACGGGCTCTGTAGTCCAATGCCAAACCCGCTGCCTTGCGGTAAGGTTTTTGAACCAAAGGCTTTGGTTGAGAACCCTAATCGTTCTCCTGTCTAGGCCTGGGCAACCTGACAGTATTCTGCCCACGCAATACAATGAACCTTTCCTACAACAATTTCTTGATGCTCTGGCCGTCGCAGAGGATAATAAACGGCGCCCTATCTGCTGCATCGAGCAGGGTGGATAGGGGTTTGGATGCTACTGCTCAGGCCTTCCCGTCTTCTTATACCCCTTCTTGTGCTTCTGCATCCTTATTGTCCCGCTCCAACTTTACTTATATCCCCCCCCATTTTCAATCCCTCAATTCTTGGCCCTCCCCCAGCTTACTTCAATAGTCGCTTGTCTTCTAATTTCAAATCACACACAATCGCAGGGCCTCGCTCCAATCCAGTCGACAAGTCCATGTTCAAGCAAGCGGACAACGTCAGTTCATCCGTTTCCCTTTGGAGTCCTCGTGTCTCGCTAAGATTGGCATGCCTCAACGTGCGCACTTTGCTGCAGATTGGCCAACAGGCAGCACTTGCCCGCACATTAGAGACCCTATCGATCGATATTTGCTGTTTATCAGAAACCCGCCTGCAAGGTTCGAGCTCAGTGCTTACCCTGAGATCCCCCACATGCGACACTGGCGGCACATTCTCATTGCGCCTATCTGGCGATGATGCAGCTTCAAATGCCGGTCAAGCTGGCGTCGGCATTGTTTTGAGTCCCCGGGCTGAAGCTGCCTTGCTTGATTGGATCCCAGTAAACAGTAGAATGTGCGCCGTTAGATTAGCTGGTTCGTTCCGTGCCTCGAAGTCGCGCGGGGACAAACGGTGCCTGTTTGTCATTGCGGCCTACGCCCCTACAAACTGTAGCACTGATTCGGTAAAAGATGATTTCTATCAGCAACTTCACGAGCTCCTTCGTTACAGAAGGAGTACGGATACTGTGGTGCTGGCTGGCGATCTAAACGCGCAAGTCGGAAAATTGTCCTCTGATGAGCTTCATCTGGGCGGCCAACATGGTGTAGGCTCCCGTAATGATAATGGTGAGCGATTGCTCCAGCTGTGTGAAGATGCTCGCCTGTTTCTCGCGAGCACTAACTTTCGACACAGCACCCGCAGAAGTGTGACTTGGCGGCCACCAGCCTCGGGCCAGTCATGGACGCAAATCGATCATATCGCGATCAGTTACCGCTGGAGAGGCTGTGTCCAAAACTGTCGCTCGATTTGGAGCACGAGCGTGGACTCTGACCACGCACTTGTATGTGCCGACCTCCTGATGCGTTTCGGTGGACGTCCGCAACGTCGATGTGAACGGATTGACACAAGCCAGCTTGCGAAGTCAGATGTTCTGAATGTGTACCAAGATGCGCTGACATCTGGGCTGAGTAAGCGCCCACTAAACACCGTTGAAGATCACTGGTCGCATACTCGTCAAGCGTTGCTGTTAGCAGGCATGTCTTCATGTGGCAAAA